AAAGGCTTCCCAAGGCAAAGCATGGGAGCGTACGCAAACAAACAACGTTCTCGACAGTGTTACATTTTGAAACGGTGATTCTGTATTAAGACTTTAAAAGCAGGTGTACTATATGCTTGTTTCCTTTGTTTAGAATTTGTCTCATTCGTAATGATATTCATATGAAGCAATATGCTTGGAATTATAAATATATTGCGAAGAAACCTTCATCCTATTAAGTTGAGGTTAATATTAAATTTAAGTCCCCTCTGATAATAATAACAACCAGAGTTTGTTTAAACATATATATGTTTGTATAAACTAGTTACGAATATACGCTTAAATTGACAGAAAACTAAGCATCTTCAGCTAAACTTCAGAAAACTAAGCATCATGAACGTGACAGTGGTTTTGTTAGATACAATGGAAAATTGAAAACAATCAAAAAACAGTGATACAGTTTCGATATTCTCTAGAAAAATGCAATTTTTTCCCGTACATGATGAATCCGCAATTACGCATATATGATGCTACAGCTATTATCTTATACTCGAAACTTCACTCCTTACGTCACAACTGGCAACCGACGAAGAAAGGAGCTTCAGTATTAACGCGTGCCGTTTCAGAACATAATTTTTGCTGCTACAGAACCCTATTATTCACATTTTTGACAGTAGCGTTTTTGTTGCTTAAAGTTACTACTATAAAACATATTTATAAAATTACCATTTCATTCTTCAAACTCTATTGGTTTAAAACGACTGATGTTTACAAATCACTCCTTGTGGATGATCTCCAGAAATGTTCTTTCCACGTTATTTCCGCATACATAAGTTGTTCCTCAGACAAATTTCCGGAAATAGCGTGCTGTTATGTATTATGTTTCTTCTTCTCTCTTATAAATCGGAATTCTTAGGATAATTTGTTATAGATTTTGCATTCTTTAATCTTTTAAACTTGCAAGGTCCCACTGAAAATATTCTAAATTAACAACGATTACATAAAGAGTTATTAGGTAGTGATTAAAGGGACTAATAAATCCGTTCATTGTGACCAAACAAAGTTCTGCTGTTAGTGCCGTAGCGATCTCAGGTCGAAGGGCATGGTTGTATTTGTGTTCGTCCTTTCAACCCCCATCACCATGTCTAGTACACAGTTACCCATAGTGCTAAAACCAATAGTGGTTGCTAATGACATAGATGTTGATGTGACATTAAAAAACAAAACGAAACAAAAAACAACAACAAAAGGTTCTGTTAAAGAAATTACAGAGAATATATACTTTGGCTATTGCATTTACTGCAAGAGTACCTGTGTCATCAATAAATCTAAATGAACGCATGCTATTTCGGCGCTGACTGCATCTACCCAAACCAGATCCGGAAGGTCAATCTGACGCGACGCCGTCCTCCAAGAAAAGCGGCGATGGTCTGTGTCGGAATCCGTGCTAAGAATCCCCTCTGGTCGTGAGCCCCGCGTAATGTGCGCGACCTCCCGACCTGTGTGGCGCGGCACGGCGGAGACGGTGCGGGTGAGCCGGGGGGTGGGGAGGAGCGGGGGCGTGGTGGGGGGGCGGGGGGGGCGGGGCGCGCCCTGTCTTTTCGGGGAACGGTTCGGCCGGCCGAAACCGACGGCGGCGTGGTAACGCCCGAGATCTCGCTCGGTCGGGACGTTACGCGGTTCGCAATCCGCGCCGTCGCCGCCCTTCCCAGTTCCTCCGCGCCCCCGCGCGTCCCGCAGTAGCCCTAAGTGCTACCAGGAAAGCATTTGAATCTTCAAAGCAATGTTCAACACAACACAACATAACATACAAAAATACAGATAATTTGAGTATGGAGCAGTGACTCTAAGAAGGGACCATTTTGACAGGTCGGGAAGCAAATGAACGCCATGCAGGGCGATGACATTGCAAGATACAGTGATGAAGCCATTTACAAATGAGTCAACCGTAACATAAAACACTGATAAAACGAGTGCATGGCCGTAACTTGCAGTTATATTGCCAGCAGTGGCCAAGTAGTAGCTGTCAAAGCGATCCCTTTCTATAGTAATCTCTCTATATGTATGTGTATTTCGTTTATGTATGTGTACCCTATCTCGATTTCAAGAACGATGGGTTCGAATCCCTCTTTCCAAAGAGGCTTTACAACATTCATCATATCCCAAAATTAATAAATCATGCGTATTGCTTGCAACCGTAGTTTAAAGCTCACTCTGGAGTCATTTCCTAGCTCTCGCTATCCTTCAGTACATCTCGTAACAAATAGGAGTAACGCTGGGGGAGATGAACATGAAGCGGCAATTTATTGTAAATTTGCCTAAAAATAATTTAAGAAAATTTCGATTCTCGTTGACATATTTTAGCCATTTGCTTATACGAGATGAAAATAACTGTTACAAATCACACTATTCATCAAAAAACAGTTCTGTTTCAAGCAGTGTTTAGGATTTCGCTCGCGTGTTTGGCATTCGAGATAATGTTTACCTACATTTGACCAACTTCGGCTTCTCCCATTCACGGAAGGGAGCTCCTCGTCCCGCATCGTCCCCGCCTCCGCCCCGCTCTCGGTTCCTGCCCGCGCGCCCAGCCCGCTGCCCGCCCTCACCACTATGACCTTCCCGTGGCCCGAAGCGGCTGAGGACAAAAGGCGCCTGGCGGATAAGCTGCGAAGGAATGCTTACGTCACTGCGCTGGAAATCCACTGAAGAGGACGGAAGTGTGCGAACTAATGTTTGTATGGAGACCAACAAAACCAAATTGTTTCTTGATACTGTTAGTGACATTTAAAGATTTGTCTGCATTTTTATTCTTGAGACGAAGTTATTACTTCTTCCAAGCTTGTCTTCTTGACTGCATTTCTGGAACAACATAACACTACAAAGTACACTACACTACAAACACACAATAGTACAAAAAAGAAATGAAATCGTTTGCTTGTGCGGTCAGTCATGTGAAGGCTCGTGGCTGTCCGGGTAACGCCGCGTCGAGGGCTGTTGTACCGACGTTGCGACCATCATATCGTGGCGCTCTAGCATCGTATTGTGTCATTCCAGCTTTGAAGAAGGCCGTGATATGAAGGTCGAAACGTGGGAACAACTACTCTCAACGCGGCGCCACCCGGACAGCAGACAGCTTCACAAGTACAACAGTAGCTCTAGAGCAGCACAGCCGCAGAGTGAGCCCAAGGACAGCCGTGAGCACACAGCGTACTATCGCGGCCACCGCGCAATACTTCATCAGTTCTGGAAAGATTCGATTCGTAAAGAGAGATGCCGCCACTTCTCTTTCAATGTAACGCACTAGTCCTCAACTGTTCCCTCAGTTTTCAGGTAAAAAAATACTTCATATTTCCTTTCGCTCTACTAATTACCGGTTAATTTAGTCTACATGATTTACGAACAAAGAATTCTTTTTCCTTGCCGGTTTCATTTGCAGTATTTTCAGCACAATCGGTTTGAGCTTGTTCTCGGGAACACTGCGACTCTGCTGGAATCGCAACAAAAGACAATTTCAAATCGCGTCGAGCTGCACGCAGAGTGGGTTTCGGGGGGAGTGGGAGAGGAGCTAGTGTTTCCAGTGATGCCCTGCGTATTTTTAGGGCCATTATATCTGAATCCAGCCGACCTGGATGGGCGAGGTGGCTAAGAGCGTGCACCAACTCAGCGCTCCGATCCGAAAGGTCGCAGGTTCGAGTCTCGTCTTGGGCATGATTGTCTCGTGTCTCTCATGTATGTGTTTTTGCGGAGGACCTCGCGTTCTGCTGACCCCAGATCAGAGGAGCCCGCGAGTTTCGTGGTATCAAGAGTGTGGTCGAATATGCGTTGGGATGTAAAGTGTAACCCGCTGTCTTCTGAAAAAAGACCTAGAAAAAAAAGACCTAGAAAAAAGACCTAGAAAAAATCCAGAACGTTGGTCAGTGTGAGAGGTACGAGGTATATTTGTATTCGAATTTAACTTCGTGTGTGATTGTACGAAACATGGGTTTAATCAGAAGCCTTTCCGTTTGCTCAACATCGCCACGTTGAGACTGAAATGAATGCTACTTAGCAAACTTCCGATTGTAGTACATGCGCACCTATTACGAATTTGTAGGTTGTTACGAAAATGTTTACGAATACGAATATGTTGGAGTTGCGGTGTTGGTTCCAAGTCGGTTGTGTTTCTGAAGCTTTTTTTGCCAATGCATAGGTTTATTTATTTTGTAGCGTGTTTGCTAGTGAGCTTCAGTTTATTTTTCACTGACAGTTGCCGGAAACTGAGGAGTAATGGTAAGAGAAACTTTTGTAATACTTATTAAACAGTCAGTAATCTATAAGTATGGGGCGCATCATTTCCATTGAAAAATACACCAGAATGGTCCTTATCATGATAGGAATAAATAATCTCTTTCCCGGTTTGGTCTCACGTCCATAGGTCCATAGAAAGTGTTTTTGTAATTTTCCAATTTCGACGCATCCTGGATATCACTGTAACGTTATGCGCATTTTCAAGAGCCGAAGCGCTCAGTTATGCTCGGGAAGTAATTAGCGTGATTTGTAAACAGCAAGTGCACTGTAATTCTGGCGGCCGGTTGGCGGGGCGATCGCAGGTCTCTGAGTGATATAGAACTTTTGAAATTTGCATCCCAATTCCGTTAATTCACGCATTTGTGTTTTTCTTCGTTTGCATTGAAACTTTTTTCTTCAACAATACTTAAATATTCTCTCTTAGTTTTGAGTGATTGTAAGCGCAATCTTCTCGGCGTCATAGATCACGAGAAAGCGTCAAGTAACTGTTGTTAAAACGAACCGTTTATCGACAAAACGACATTTGAAATATTTTATCAACTAATTGAGACTGATGATCAACTGATTGACACCGTTGATCAACTAATTGAGACTGTTGTTCTGTCAGACACGAAGTGGTACAGACCGTGGGCAGTATTGCCCCTCTTATGTGGTAATGTCCCTCAATCGTGATAACCTGTAGTTTCCACATTCGCCGGCGATATGTAACTCATGATTCGCTTCCTTTGCTGCAGGTGTAGCCCCGAAGTGGCGACGCGCGTCGTGTTGCGAACGGCGTTGGGCGCCGCGTCGGAGGAGTCGCTGGCGCTGGAGGCGGAAGGGGCGGCGGTGCCGACGGCGGGGGCGAAGGACCGCACCACAGCATCCCCGTCCACCACAGCGCCACCCGCCGGCGCCTATTCCCCAAGCAGGAGCCCAGCGTCGACAGCGGCACCAGCGGCCTAGTCAACGAAGTTCTCGTGCTCGCCGCTGCGGCGCTGATGCGAGAGTGCTGCAAGCGGTTGTTGCCGCCGCCGTCAGAGCGCAGTACTAGTTTCGGCTGTCGGTGTAGGGCTGCGCGACTGCGCCTACCGTCCACCTCGGCGTGGGTGGACCCTTCCTCCGTAGCGAGTCGCTCTTCACGACGCCCCCTTACCGTAAAGGGCATGTGCCTGGATGTTTTTTACCCCACAGTATTCTTCATTAGCTTTTAGGAATTGCCCGTGTTTTCTGACATTCTAACGGCAATAGAACACGAATTCGATTATATTTGGTGGCTGTACTAGTATGTTTAGGCACCAATCTTTCATTCCTTTGCTGAAGACTCTGTTTAATAAGGGCTCGAATTTCCGTTCAGATCTAGTTATAATTTTATATGTATGGTTTTCCTTCGCCCAATTTTCTTATGCAAAATGAAAGGAACAATCTGTTTCAGGGCATTTCCAATAGGAATTAGTTTTTAATATAAGAAGTAGTTAAATATTCATTTGTAAGAATAGAATTATTTCATGAAAATACCTTATATCAATTTAATTTATTATTTTATTCTCTTTGACAAAATTCCCGTTTTCACGCAGTTTATTAAGTTGAATTCATGTTCGCGAATTAACATCACTACTGATTCTGAGTTGAACACCACCGAACTAATTGGAATATGTAGCCATTTCTCATTTTCTCTCGTAACCTTACGAGAATACATTGCTATTGTCAAAAACATTATTATGAATATTTTCATAGTACGCTTTACCAGCAACTACCAGAGAAAGTCAAGGGCCTGGAACGGTTCCTTATTTCAAATAAAATCCCCCCTCAGCATATATACAGAATGCAAAACAAACAAAATATAGTAGATAATTTGATTTGAAGTATATACATTTTTTAAATATTTTAAATGGAAAAAAGACAGAGCCTCAATGAAGTCGGGACCTGGAGCATAAGGTGCTTCTGTGCCTTACACATACTAATTTATCGTAATTAAAGTTACATTTTGTTTCAGAAAAATAGTTTTGAAATAATTTAAAAATTATTGCTTTGCATTATTTTAGTAATGTGTCTTCCATATCATAACTCATTCACGCTAATTTATACGCTAACCAATTGAGGTACATTTAACGTATACGTTAGTCAGATAAGTACTGAGATACTACTACTGTCTAAGCTACATTTATTGTTAATTGTTATCGAATTAAGAAAGTATAACCAATTTCGTTTTCTACTTTCTTTGGAATGAAATGTCATCATTTTAGTTAGATCGCTTTTATCCTTCGAAGGAAGTTATAACCAGTACAAAAGCAAGAAGTAACTCTTTAACTTCTGATTTTTTCTTAGATATATCGGATAAAATATTCACAGCATATACCAAAATATATTCTAGCTAGCTTCTACGAGCGTTCAAACTCGAGATTAGATTTTTAGTACTTACGGGCAAACGTTGCTTTATTAGTTTTTCTTGTCTTTGAAGGTTAAGCAGTGTGTTTATTCAAAATAACAAGTTAAAAGTTCGAAATAAAAAGAAAAATCACAGAGAGATGAATTATTTTATTACATGTGTTAATTAATACATTAATTACATTAATTATATCAGTATTCAAAATGCATTTGAAGTACTGAGACACGCTAGACATACTCGTACACAATTACTCGTACGTTGAAATATTGTGTGTACTGAACGTCTTTCCAAACATGTCATGTCATTTTAGATAACAGTTCACAACATTAAGATACGGTGTGGGTCTTAGGAGTAATTTGAACGTGGAGAAATCCAATTCCACCATTATATTGATCTTTTTTTCACATTAAAACCCATTTTGCATTACCATGGTATTAATGTGTGAAATCACTAATTTATTTTGACAAGTACGTATTATTATGAGAATTAACAATACAAATGTTTGGTTTAGGTCAACTTATTATACGTATTGACATATTTAATAAATTGGTACACTTTTTTGGTTATTTGTCAATCATTCTAACAACCGAGTCTACTATAATGGGATTGCTTCTGCTAAGATGCACATGAATATGAATGTAAAAAAAATGTATTGACAAAAATTGGCTTTTAACTGTTCACGATGTGTCAAAAATACAATTGACAAAGAAACTTTAGTCAGCGCATTCCAAATTCTGGTGAAACTGGTGACGTTAATACCTTTTTTGAATTTACATGCTTCTGAAATATCGTAATGTAAATCACTTTCGAGTAACATCCTTGGGCAAGATCCTATGGAGTGAAACAGAGTTTACTTTACCTGACAGAAACTGCTGATTGAAAACGTCGGAAATAACTTCAAACTGTTTTTGTTTTCTTTCCATATAACCTTTATCGGATCACAAAACTAATTACCTCGCATCAGCTGGATAAAAACGGGTTTTTACTCACGGTACCACAAGCAAATAAATCCTTAAAAGTTTTTAGTCAGAGACTACCGTATTACGAATCTCATAGGAACTGTTCCATAGCCACACTGCTTTTGCAGAAACATTTAAGACTGAGACAATACGATATTTTGGTATAATAATTTATCATAATCAGTGAAGAGGGGGTCGATGTACGCTGTAGATCGATACGCGTTAGTTTCTTGCAGTGAAGTCAAAAATTTGTGAGAAACGATTTGAAACTGCGCCGGAACATTAACCTGATAAGAATTTTCCCGCAACGTTGTTTAATGCAGCCCTTGCTTTACGATAATTACTCTTTATTGTTAGCATGTATTTGATTCTATGCTATCTCGAAACCTATGACATAGACATTATTTAAAAGGCCCGACATTTTTGTTGTTGTTGTTATTATAATTATTATTATTATTATTATTATTATTATTATTATAAAATTCAGTAATATTGTGAAGTAAAAGGAACCTGCGTGAAACTTTGACATTGAAACGCGTGACAAATATAAATAAATGTTCAAATAAAATTACAACACCTGTAAGAAAACTTGAAACAAACATTTCAGTTTTTAGAATTAAATATTGCTGTTAATGGTTGTAATAAATATTCGATTGCTTGTGTGTATGTGTATGTGTATGTGTATGTGTATGTGTATGTGTATGTGTATGTGTATGTGTATGTGTATGTGTGTGTGTGTGTGTGTAATGCATGGACATGTTTAAAATAATTTTTTTAATTTTATAACGGTATGTAATAAGTCTAAACCAATGCATCAACAATAAGTCAAAAATAAGCCAAAGTGGCCTCACTATGTCTTGTTAGAAAACGTATCAGTAATGTCATTGTTTGAATGGGTATTCTTCTCCTTACGTTTGATCAGCAAGACACTAGAGAGTGAGACACAGGGCGCTTTGACACTTTATCACTGTATCTGCATGCAATGTCTGTACACAAGGCACATTATCCCTCGAGCTTTCAAAGCACCTTAATCACCCCAAAGCACCTCGACGATTTTTGCTATACACTTCGTCAAGACGCGTGTGCTACACCAGTAACTGAACCGGTGACAAGATTTTTCTTCACTCAAGTTCACCGTTTATTTTAATATAGCTTAGGAATTAGTTGTTAGGCAAAACGTAGGCCACATAAGTGCAATGTATTTCTTCGGTGGGACGGTAAATCTCATTCTGAATGGTGTATTGCGTCCTCCGAAGAGTGAAGAGTGAAGTAGAGGAAATTTATTTAAACCAAAGTAGAACTAATAGGTGTAAGTTCCATTCCGTCAAGAGCTCCTTATAGTCTTTCTACCTTTGATTTGGTGTTGTACTTTACATTAAGGGAGAGAAAGTTGCATTTTTGAGTTGTAAGTTATTTATTTATGTCAATTATTTATTATTTGTGTTATTTATTTCATAAATAAGCTTGTAATTTAAGGAAGATAATTTATATTAAAGTTTCAAACAACATTTAGCGTGTACATTCCATTATTTTTCCTCAACAGATAATTATACGATTCTTAAAACTTTCCCACTACCTTTCTCCATTAAAGTTATGTTATTTTAAAAACTATTAGTACAAATATCTGGTGCTAATCTCTATTACTCATAGATATAAATCCCGAGTAAATGGTGAACTCCCTCTATGATGAAAAAATAAATTAGACAAAAAGACAAGAACAATAATAAATATAATAAATACTGTTTATTACTTTCCAATGTAACTAAATATTTTATAGTGAAAATTTATCTCCGTTCATTGACGACATTCACCTCCTGTGTCAAGGATGAATTGTATAACAAGCATCATCTCAATTGAAACTAGTATTTATTCATCATGTGAATACGATATTTATTAATGGTATGACAGAAGTATTTTTTATAAAAAAGTTGATATTTTCACATTTATTTTTGTTTATTTTAGTTGTTTGTTATTCTGTGTGAAGAAAGATCACAGTCTGGTCAACAGCCTTACATTTTGAAAGTTATTTTTATGTTTCGTAAGTTATTTTTGTTTCCAATCACAGCAAATTAGAAAGGGAGGAAGGTCGGAACGAATAATAAAAGTTATTTGAATATTATTTCTAATGAAAATAACCTTGCCAACACAATAATAAATTTTAGAGTTAATGAGCAACAAAATATTTCACTTCCTGAGAAGTTGATGATGTAAACTTTACATTGCCCCTTTAAAGCACGGTTTCATTTTACAGAGAGACATTACCTGCGGTGGTTTACTGAAATAGTTGCCGAGAATTTATAGTGACGACGAAACATTCAAATCACAAAATATTTTCATTATCTTGAAGTGGAATTCGAGTTATGTGACAATGGTCTCGCACAAAAACGTCACAAACGGGCCTCGTCGTTTCACATTACTTCGCGCGCCGTTTGACGTCGTTCTAACATTAGCTCGTTCGTGCACCACGGGCGTGACAGTGTTGGTCGTCGGGCGTGCGTGCCGCTCAGTGCGTCACTCCCCCGCCCCCCCCGTGTCACGAGTCGAGCGGGGGCGTGGCGAGACAGGTGACAACACGCGAGACATGGTGCGTGGTTATCGTGATCGAGCTTCGAGATGCTTCCTGAGTGGGAGATAATAGGCTGAAATGTGTAATTCGTGATAGATACTGCGAGACGTTATTTGAAAATAATGAAAAGGTGCTGCTAAGTGATAAGAACAGTCAGAAAATAAAACATAGAAGTAATTAAATACAAAAAGCGTTCATTAAGTAACATTTTATGATTCTGTAAAAAAAGCAATATGGCGGGTAGTGACAAAGTAATGACTGATAAACAGCATTCAAATTAAGAGAGATTTCCGTTGGAAGAAATCGTCGAATTGATATAAAGTGAATAAGTTAATAAAAAGTTAATTATATGACTGGTAATTAGTGCATGAAAGATAATATAAATTGAGAGAAGGAAGATGAATGGAACTGACATGTTTTAAAAATTCAGAGAATATCAGATAATGAAAATTAGATAGGTTATTGCAATGTTTTAGAGTCAATGTAAACGGCAATTTATATAAATTTAGCGCAGCCTTTATTGTGATTGTATCATTACAAATAAATATTCTTTATTTCTATTACAAAATATAATCTAAAATATAACAATTATATTATTGCAAATGTAATTATCTTATGATTCAGTTTTATTTGTGACAGCACGAATTTCGATTTGGAATGATGGTTCTCGACCGAGGAAAATTATAGATACTTACGAGATTGCAGTCATATACTTAAACAAGAAACGACAGCAACTTTATTTAGTTGTGTTATATTTCTTACTTACGAAGATGCTCTGCACAGGAAATGAAAAGAAAAGCTTCAACAAAAACGATTTATTAAATAAACGTGGAGAATGTTTTAAAATCAACTATACATTTTAAAAAGCCTTATTTTTCAATAAACTATGTTATTTCAACAAATACTTGCATTCATTCACTCATTCATTCATTCAATAAAAATTATATAAAATCTACTTTTCAAATAGATTTTTTGCTCATATCATTTTGAGAATTATTTTAATTTCAAACAGAGATAATTATCGAGACATTTGTACTATTTTTTACTAGGTTTAAATGAAATAATATGTGAATAAGGATATATTTTACGATTATCATAATCTCTACGTCATCCATCGAGAAAAGTGCGTGGTTTAGTGCGAAATATCTACCAAAGAGATCAAGTACTTGAGCTACTTTACTGGATGCGTGGAAGTGACCATTCATCTTAACTACAACTACTACAGAGGAGTCAAGTGTTTTGCTCAAAACTAGGTCACTCAATAATAGGGCTTACTTTCTTTTGTACTCACTCTTTACCCACTTCACCGCTTTATAAAACAAGTCTCTTGTGAGGAGCATTATGGAATAAAATGCAGAATATACAACTTTGAAGACCAAATGGGTGAAGTGTTATATTCAGAATTTAGTATGAACTTTGAATAAAATCGTAAAATTACTATATATAGTCCTTTGTACACAATTTTTCACCAGTTGTTTAATAAAACTCAGTATCTAATTGTTTTAACCATTTTCCATGGCCCAGCTTAAAGCTGTTATAATTAATTATATAAAAATTAGCACACATTGACACTTACAAACTAGGGTCGGTTAGTTAACAAGTCTCTATTTTCTATAGCTAGAACGTTTATTGCAAAGAAATGAG